ACAAAAGGTTAACCAAAAATTCAAATCAAGATGTTATTCTGTATTTATCTTATTTCCTGCAAGGATCAAAATAGCACTACAGAAAAGGCTTCAAAATGACAAAGTCAAAATCAGGGATATTGCAGCAGTAATGAGAATAAAGCTTTTTATTCAAATACAGCTGGATCAAAATTAGAAAAGCTAATCTTTGAATAAAATATTGCATCAAAATTAATAGAACTACTCAGTGTAATCCTAGGTTAGGGTACGGAATTGGCTCAGTACCTTGTTACAAGCAAACACCCAATAGATCTTTAAAGGTTAGCAGTTATTCAAGGAAAAAGGAGAGCCTGTGCTCTATCCTACACTTAAGGAGTAACACTCCTTATTAATTTAATCTGAGAGTCGACACAATTATGTGTCTCAAGTTAACAAGATCGATCACCAAAGTCTGGTTTAATTCACTCGATTCAAACGCTCATCTCTGTCACTGATGACGCTGAAGTCGATTTAATGCAGAGCATGCAATTTATTCCGCCAGCCAGTAGGGGAGCTGTGGCTCCGCCTCGGGCGGCCTATTTCTCAATGTAGAAGAAGAAGCGGCTTCCTCTCTGGTCCTCGGACCCAACAGCTGTTAGCTTCAGGCTAACGCAGTTAGCAAACCGTCGTTGCAGCAACGGCAGTAAATCAGAACACTGACGGACACCAGTCCCGCTCAAAATGGGGGAAGGACTCGCTCCTTTGTTTCAATGACTCAGCTTGCTTTCAAGCTTCGATTTAGCGTTAACTTAGCTCGGTAGGTACAACGCTACAGGCTAAACTCGGCGTCTTCACGCCTGTGACTCCACTGCCGGGCAGCTGTATTTGTTGAGGTAGCTAATTTCAACAGGATACCGGAGTTTTGCATATAACATAACAACCCACGGCTCAGCGCGTCAGACTGTTATTTATAGCCGCAAACAAATCACATTGGCACAGCGCAACTGTAATCTGTCTGCCTCTTATTAGGCCTTAAAATTATCAATATCGGTTAAGTTTCTCTCAACCAAAAGGGCATTTCATCCACTCGTCAGCGGAGATTGTGTGTAGCTTTAGCTCAGATTTCTCATATGGTAACGTTACAGGAATGCATTCAGTTTAACATTAGCTCGGTCCTCATAGCTCAGCTCACTACAGCTCTGTACTGAACAACAAAGAACAATGGCCCGGCAGCCAAACAAGTTGCACAAAGCATTTCATTTCACAACAAAGAACATGGTCAAAACTCACACACACTTTCATCACTAACGTTAAGTTAAAAGGGAAGACAGGAGAGTTTCTATGGAGCAACTTACTGGGCGATAATTATTTCAGTGGCAAAATTTTGGAGGGAAAAATTTTCTGGGACTCAATAATAACTTCTCTGCATCAGGGCTGTGTGTATAGTCTATTATAGTATGTCACAAGGCCTCACACGGCAGGCTCCATTATGTAGTAGACCTAAATTTATTAGTTATGCATTTTAATAAATTTATGAGAATTGATACCCAATTATGAATTTTAAGATTCATAAAATCATTTTTCCTCGTTAAGGGCACCACCGGAGTTGTTATAATCCTAGAGTCTCCGGACCTCTAGGTAGTTTTGAATAATTATACAATTATTACTAGTGATCAGTTAGTTAATAATCGCTCAATTATCTTAAATCAGTCAGTCAGTCTCATATCTAAAGGGTCAATTCTCTTGGCAGGAACTAGAAATAGGCAACACACACAGCTCTTGATTATATTACAGTGAATTTATTCTCTAACTAAGGTGATAAAAAGATGGTTGGATACAGGGAACATAAACATTTGCTGAACAATGAGCCTGGAGGTTCGATTGTGGGAAGCATTTGACTAATACGGCATAGAAGAGCTAATGAAAGTAAACTACTGCTATGATTTTAGGAGTTAAAATGGACATCTGATCACAGAACGTGTGTTAAGTCTTACTGCTTGTCGACAGTCTGCTTTTGGCCTGTTGCTGGTCCCACGCTAGCTGCCCGATCCTGGCTTTTTGCTAGGGATTCTCCAGGGTTCTTCGTGTCTGATTGAAAACGCCTCCTCCGTCTGGCAATTCGGCTGTTTTCAGGTTTCCTTCGTTGTAGCTGGCGAGACCACGTGGCTTGGTCTGACCTCGGTGAAGTTGGCTCGACGAAAAAGGCTTAAAATGGAACTTGGTCGTTCCTGAATTAGTCCAGTGTAACTTAACGGACTCATAACTTTAACAAACAAAAGAAATAAAGAAAATAAAACAAACTGAAGGCAGATCGACGTCGCGGCACTTCAGGTGTGTAGCTTCAGGCGAACAAAGGGCCTGTTTGTTTCGCTGGTCGACTGAGGGCGTTGCCTGGCGCAGCACGCGCCGCGTCCAGAGAGCAGAACAGAGTGGAAGAGCCAACAGCGAAGCGAAGAGAGAGAGTGAGCGAGGTCGCGTGTCGCTCTTTTGTTGCCTGGGGCGTGGTTCCCCAGGGGGCGTCTCAGGTTTCCCAAGGGACTGCCTCTCTAAACTTAATGTTTAAAGAAAAGAAATCTTTTTGCACGTATTATAATCAAATATTTTCCACAATCGAACCTCAATGGTTGAACGGTTGTACTGTTCTAGGCATTTGGTAACAGGAAACAATTGTCACATTATTGGTCAGGATATTTATACATTTAACGGCATTTCCAATGAGGGCATGTAATACTTATTTCGTCCACTTGGGGGAGCTCAGGTTACATGAGGAAAGCTTGGATTAAATCAAAGATCGTCTCTCCTTAGGAACCGGGGAATATCGTTGATTCATCCTTAAATTCAAGCTGGCGATTAAGAGTATAGTAAAACATTTCTTTGTCATCATTTAAAAAGGGATTTTGTAAGAAAGTATTATGAACAAGCATTGATTACATTAGATGAAGGAGTGTCTTGCTGAAAATAAAAACATTGCACAAGTAACTTCTTTCAGCACTAATATCAACAACAGATAGCAACAACAGTTAACATAACTACTCAAATAGAGGCAAACGTATTCAGGCAACTAAAGATTTAATTAACTTAATTAAATGCTTTGAGTATTTGGAGACTGCAGTCCGTTTTACATTAAAAGATCAGTGTCTGGACCATGTCACACCTAGGTGAGACAAGGAGTATCCCTTTGATGTGGTACTAAAACAAAGAATAAGGTCAGTTGCCACGGAAACGTGTGTGGGGGGCCAGTTTTGATAGGCTGTTCAGGGAGATGCCAATGGCTGGCTCGTGTCCCTTTGTCAGTTTAAGAGTCAGGCCCCGCGTTATCAGCTTCGGAATCAAAAAGGTGCCAGTTTTATGGTCGGGAAAGCACTTAGAGAAAGCAACTTTGACCCCTCCCCATCTTCTCTGGGGAGGAGAAAGGAATTTAGGGTAGCTCCAAATATATTCAATGTAAAATGCACAAATCCACACCGTTGTTCACTACACCATGTTCATGTGTAGGACCAGTAACCCACTGAGAGAGTCCACGAGTTGCAGAAACTGGCTAACCAGTGACTTTGAAGGGCAACAGACATGAATGTTAAAATAACCAAGGATGAAAATGTTGTCAAAGTTGGGCACAAACAATAATAAAAAGCTAGAAAATTTGTGAAGAAATTCCTTATTGTTCTCCTCCTCCTCCACCTCCTTATCGTCCTCCTATTCCATTTCCTCTTTCAACTCCTACTGTTCCTCTTCCTTTAGCTCTTCCTTCTCTCCATATTGCTCTTCTTACTCCTCCTCCTCCTCCTCCTCTCTAGTGTCCTCTCTGTCTTTCTTCAGATTTCTCTAGATCCATTGTTCCTAAACTGAATGAACTGACTCTGGCCCTTTTATCTTTCTATTGAAGCTTCTGATTGGCGTGTTATTGTGTTTGTGTTTCCACCTGGGTAGCTGTGTGCTAATTGAGCTCAACCTGTGCTGATTGAGTGAACAATATTGAATGTTAGTATTTTCTCAACGACCACATGGTGCAGGCAATGAGAAATGAAAGGATTTGTTTGTAGAGTTTAGAGAAATGGGTGTGCTTTTTGAATAATGGAGTTATGGTTTTGAAGTTTTAGTTCAATAGACTGGTTATAGTGTTCAAGCAATTGAGAATAAATATGTTTTTTTTGCAAATGACTTGAAGGAAAATGTATGTGGAGATATGTATGAAAAATATATTGAATATAAAAAGATGTACATCTTTTATCTGGTATAAAAATGGGTTTATGGTATTTTCAAGCCTAGTGGGCGGGGCTACGGGCTTTAAAAGTGCCAGCCTTGTGCTCTTTGAAGTGAGTCTTGGCTTGGTTACAGAGGAAGTAACAGCTAGTGGACTGCCAGATAGGGTAGCACATTGTTTTTGAGTGAGACTTCCAAAGCCCAGCATCTCCATGAATCCTGCTGGTGAGGTTACCTGGGGTCAGGACGTCAGCATCACTTGTTCCAGCTCAACTCAGCATTTAGACGGAACATTCCTCCTGCAGCAGACCTCAGGCTCATTCAGAAAGAACCAAACATCAAGTACCAACTCTGCTACCTTCATTATACCTAAAGTGAACTTTGATAACGAAGGATCGTACCAGTGTCAGTATCAGACAAGTGTTTCAAGTGAAAAAGTCAGCTCCCCTTTAAGTGACTCTGTCAGACTCTCTGTTACTGGTAAGGAAATGAATCTGTTTCATTCACTTGTTTAAAGAAATAGTTCAACATGTTGGGAAATAAACAATTTTGTTCTTATATTGAGAGTTAGATAAGACTGATCCTCATCTCATAGCTGTCCTTTAAATATGAAGCCACAGCCAGCAGCTAGTCAGTGTAGCTTAGCATAAAGACTGGAAACAAGGAAACAGCAGTAACTTACTGAAGGCAACCAGAGGGGACCGAAAAACTTAAAAGGCTTATTTCCCTTAATGGTGAACTATTCCTTTGGCATAAAGGAAATTTAGCAAACTAAAAAAGCAGAAAAACGTGTAACTCAAAGTCAGTCCATTTACTGCTCTAAAATTGTGTAATTTTTTCAGAGAGCCTCTCAAAGCCCAGCATCTCCATGAATCCTGCTGGTGAGGTTACCTGGGGTCAGGACGTCAGCATCACTTGTTCCATCTCAACTCAGCATTTAGGTGGAACATTCCTCCTGCAGCAGACCTCAGGCTCATTCAGAAAGACCCAAACATCAAGTACCAACTCTGCTACCTTCATTATACCTAAAGTGAACTTTGATAACGAAGGATCGTACCAGTGTCAGTATCAGACAAGTGTTTCCAGTCGAGACTTCAGCTCCCCTTTAAGTGACTCTGTCAGACTCTCTGTTACTGGTAAGGAAATAAATCCATTCCCTGAATCTGATGTTTCATTGTTGTTTAAAGAAATAGTTTAACATGTTGGGAAATAAACAATTTTGTTTTTATATTGGGAGTTAGATAAGACTGATCCTCATGTCATAGCTGTCCTTTAAATATGAAGCCACAGCCAGCAGCTAGTCAGTGTAGCTTAGCATAAAGACTGGAAACAAGGAAACAGCAGTAACTTACTGAAGGCAACCAGAGGGGACCGAAAAACTTAAAAGGCTTATTTCCCTTAATGGTGAACTATTCCTTTGGCATAAAGGAAATTTAGCAAACTAAAAAAGCAGAAAAACGTGTAACTCAAAGTCAGTCCATTTACTGCTCTAATATTGTTTTGTTTTTCAGTGAGACTTCCAAAGCCCAACATCTCCATGAATCCTGCTGGTGAGGTTACCTGGGGTCAGGACGTCAGCATCACTTGTTCCATCTCAACTCAGCATTTAGACGGAACATTCCTCCTGCAGCAGACCTCAGGCTCATTCAGAAAGACCCAAACATCAAGTACCAACTCTGCTACCTTCATTATACCTAAAGTGAACTTTGATAACGAAGGATCGTACCAGTGTCAGTATCAGACAAGTGTTTCCAGTCGAGACTTCAGCTCCCCTTTAAGTGACTCTGTCAGACTCTCTGTTACTGGTAAGGAAATGAATCCGTTTCATTAACTTGTTTAAATAAATAGTTCAACATGTTGGGAAATAAACAATTTTGTTTTTATATTGAGAGTTAGATAAGACTGATCCTCATCTCATAGCTGTCCTTTAAATATGAAGCCACAGCCAGCAGCTAGTCAGTGTAGCTTAGCACAAAGACTGGAAACAAGGAAACAGCAGTAACTTACTGAAGGCAACCAGAGGGGACCGAAAAACTTAAAAGGCTTATTTCCCTTAATGGTGAACTATTCCTTTGGCATAAAGGAAATTTTACCAACTCTGCTACCTTCATTATACCTAAAGTGAACTTTGATAACGAAGGATCGTACCAGTGTCAGTATCAGACAAGTGTTTCAAGACGAGACTTCAGCTCCCCTTTAAGTGACTCTGTCAGACTCTCTGTTACTGGTAAGACAAATAAATACATAAATTAAATACAGCAATTAACCCAGAAAAGTGTACAGTAACAGGGTTGGGAGGATTACTTTAAAAATGTAATCCGGTACAATTACTAATTATTTACTTATAACATAATCCAAGTACCACAAAATAAAAGTAATTTAATCTGATTACTTTTAGTTACTTTTAGATTACTTCATATGCAAATGAAGACAAGTGAAGATGCGTTGTCTGCTTAGTGTGACATAGAATAACAAAATCTTCCGTTCCCAAAATCCACGTTTAAATGTTTTTCTATGATATGCTTTGCACTATGTCTGGCCCATCAATGACAAAAACGTTGTTTTAGAGGTATTCTTGATGATATTTAAGAATTTGTCATTTGGACAACCATTTTAAAATGTTGATGACTCACTCTGCACTTGTTGTATTAATTTAGCGTCCAGTGAAAAGATTTCTCAATATAAAGCTGCTGAAGCATCGTGTTTCACGGACCGGGCGCCATTGAATGCTGTACAAAATAACTTTTTCACTGATTTTGGTGAAACTCGATCATATTTGATGGAGAAATATTTAAAAAATTTAGAAAATATATTCTAATTTTCTCTCTGGTGTCCCCCGGCTGCTCTGCCTCAACTCTGTGATTCACAGAGTTTCCTGATGGACAGAGAGCTTTAACTTGTTGCTGAAGTTAGTTTCTTGATTTCTTAAACAAATTATGCTTCTTTTTCTAGAAACTCTAAACCTCAGACATGACACACAAGCCCTCAGAAACACACACACTGCGACACGGTCTGACACACTGGTGAGAGAGATTCAAAGCAATACTACAAAAACTGGTTATTAGTAATAATGGTTCTCCCCCTCAGAAACCTTTTCACATGATGAACACAAAAGAAATAACAAATGTAAACATTTGCTCATGTTTTATTCCTTAGTGTGCTGAACAGTTCAACACACCCAACAACTACTTATTCAGCCCCAGCGTCCTGTCTTTGGTCTATGACAGGCCAGAGACTCTTGTTCTCCACCTACTCCTCCCTCCCTACTCCTACTCCTGCCGGAGTAAAAAGTGTTATGCAGTGAAAAATTAGCTGCCTGCTCTCATTGGCTGGATATGGATGTTGAGTCGGCCGACTCCGGCAGATATTTGGCATGCTGGATTTCTGGCAGACGTCGGCGATGTGTCAGAAATGTGTCGGGGAGTCGTTTTGATGCGTCGTTGAGTAGTTCACACGTAACAAATCGGGCTATAAATCGTGTAGTGTGACCTAGGCTTTACTCCTCTCCATACTGTGTCTCCTCCTCCTCTCTGGTGTCCTCTCTGTCTTCCTTCAGATTTCTCTGGATCCATTGTTCCTAAACTAAATGAACTGGCATTGGGCCTTTTATCTTTCTATTGAATCTTCTGATTGGTGTGTTATCACTTTTGACTGTTTGTGGTTCACCTGTGTGCTAATCGAGCTCAGCCTGTGCTGATTGAGTGAACAATATTGAATGCCAGTGTTTTCTCAATGACCACATGGTGCAGGCAATGAGAAATGAAGGGATTTGTGAGTAGAGTTTAGAGAAATGGGTGTGCTTAGCTCAGTTAGCTGTGCAGCCACTGGTCAGATTAGCTCTGCCCATACTGGGAGCTCGGAGCACCAGGGGAGTGTTTGTGTTTACCACAGACTGTATGAAGGTGTTTACACCTTTACTCAAGCACTGGAGGTTTTCAGGCCAGGGGCGGGGGGGCCTGGCATGGAATGATGGCGGGGTGCAGCGCCGGCAATTCGCTCAGCAGTGAACACGGCATGAAAAGGACCAAACACAGCCTCAAAGACCAACAGGGAATCCAGTACTGATATGATTTACTAGAGCTTCTTGATGGATATAGTTAGCTTTACTTTTTTTCTTAAATTTAACTGGAAAAGCTCATACGTACTGAGATCATGTCCTCTGTATTGTTACCAGGATATTTAATCAACTCTTTCCATTCTACAATCACATTATACAAGATTTTTTAGGCTGATTCTGATAATAATTACAGCCAGTAGGTCCTATTTTTGTGGAGGTGTAACAACCAGCTCCAGCAGCGCTAACCTTTAACTTCACTTTCCCTATCCATGTGGTCGGATTAAATACGCGATGTCCACTGTAAGGGCTCCAAACAGGACAAACTCAAACTCAGGGTCTGACAAGGGTTTGCCAGCCAGAGTCAGGGAGGCAGAAACAAAGGCTGAAAAGCAGAGCAAAGCAGGGAATGATGAGCGATGGGGCGGTATATGCACTGCAAGGCTGATTAGAAATAAGATGGGAAGCAAGAAGGGGTTACTGCAGGGCAGCATGGAGGGGCAGGATCTGTAATGTCAGGGAGAGTTAGTAAATGGCAGAATGAACTGGCTGAAGTCGTGACAGCGACTGTGTTTATCTTAAACTAAATCACATGAAAATGACACCTGTGTGCTACAAAATAAGCACACCATCTCTACACACACCAGACTGGTCCATTAAGCTCCATAATAACTGAACTTACTCTAGGAAATGGATGCTAAGATCTGTGTGGCGCTACGTTGACTACATGGCACAGGTCGCCTGCTGTGATACAAATGGCACCAAGTTCCAAGGGCAAATGTGTATATAGCGCCCCCTAGTGGTAGAAGTGTGCGGATTTTTGCGCCTGAGGTACTTGCAGTGGTTTGGACCTACCCTATGAGTTTAGTGTCTGTAGCACTTACTGTCTAGGCTGCAGTATGAGTTTTAGCTGCGGAATAATAAAACGATTCCAATAGGGTTCCCAGCTCCACTGGTACTGGGAACCACGATGCCTTGCATTCACGGGTTCCCTGCCCACTCGGGCTTGGACCCCTAATAAGAATTATTATTATTATTATTATTATTATTATTAAAGTGCATTTTTAACCCTGTTACACATGGAGATGCCCACACACTCTGTGCACAGTTTGTTTTGAACATTACACCAATCAATCAAATTCAGAAATTTAATATGCTACAGCAAATACATTTCTGGTACTGTAGATTCTTTAAAAAGAGCATTTACACCATCATGGTGGGAAATGAAAAAAATAATCCAGTTAAATTTGGACAATAAATATATTTAAAGATTGTTGTTGTGTGGTCAAACATTTCTGTGGTGTGTTTTTTTACCCAGTGAGACTGCAGCCGCCCAGCATCTCCCTGACGTCTCCTAACAGAGGTTCAGAGGTCACCAGGGGTGACAGCTTTGTCTTCACCTGCTCCACTTCCTCCCACTATCCCACTGGTGTTTTCTTCCTCATCTTCTCTGGCTCCAACATCACTGACCCCAAGCCAGCAGTCAACCACTCAGCCTCCTTTAACTTCCCTGCTGCTGAGTACGAACACCAGGGCAACTACAGCTGTGTGTATGAAGTCACATGGTCTACACGGAAATACACTTCTCCCATGGCTGCACCAGTTAGTGTCCTCATCAAAAGTAAGTAGAATGGAGAATTTAAACTAACTGTTGCTATATTTTATGAACAATTCCACCAGACAAAACAAGTGCTGTGGTGCTACATCCATCCATCGTCTATAACAGCTTACCTGTGCAGGGTTGCGGGGGTGCCTATTCCAGCTGATACCGGGTGTGAGGCGGGATACAACCTGGAAAAGTAGCCAGTTTATCACATACAGACACACACACATTCACACCTCTAGGGGCAATTTAGAGTCACCCAGCCGGAGCACCCAGAGAGAACCCACACAGACACGGGGGAGAACATGCCCACACAGAAAGGTCTGGGACAGGCTAGGCACTGTACCACCGGGACACCTTGCTGTGATGATACAGTGTAAGATAAAAAAAAGAAAAAAAGACAAGCAAACCACCCACACATACCACAGTGTAGTGTGTCCGTTACATTTGTATCACATTTGACAACAAAAACAATGAATGTGACTAAATATTACAAAACTCAATGATGATCCAACTATTCATTTTGCATCAACTAGTATAAACAAATTAAGAAATACACTTCAATCGGAATCACAACTAGTAGTGAATGGATTTGTGAAAATAGACTTAAATGTAGCAAAAAGTATCTTGTTCAGGTCTAGACATGCGACTAATGGCGATAATCAGCTCTGCCTGTCACTTAAAGCCTCAAACATTGAACAGGTTCAAGAGGTAAATTTGCTTGGCGTTACACTAGATGGACAGTTGACAAGATGGGAGAAACATATTGACAACATTGTTAAGAAAATGGGTAATGGAATATCAAGTATTAGAAGATATTCCCCTTTTCTTACCCCTGCCACTATAGTGCTGGTGACACAAGCATTAGTTTTAAACCACCTTGATTACTGTCCTCTAACAATAAATCTTTTATGTATGTTCTATTACTATTATTACTATTACTAGTGTTATTACTAATATTGTTATGACATAGATATATAGGTATTGTGTTTTTATCCTTAATGATTCCTCTCCTATTCTCCTTTTGTTAGTCTGTCCACATTTACTAGGGTTTAGGTCAGAGCTGTGAGATTGTTTTGGTGTTTTCCTCTCTTGTTGTTCTTCTCCTCTCCTGGAATGTTCATTCAAGGTTGAGAGAGGATCTCTGTTCCCCAAAACATAGAAACCTAGACTGTGTAAATGATTATGCATCCCTTTGCTCAGGGTCAGATGCCCGAAGCCGCCCTAGGTGGCAGGTCTCTGGACCAGCTGTCAATGTTTTAGTACATGTTTACTTTTTGTACTGTTTATTCTCTTTTTGTTGGTTGGTTGTTACTGAATGATCTGCTCAACCCCTCACCAGAAATATAATTTCCACGACATTCACCTGTCTGGTCAGGTGCAGCCAAAAAGGTTAAGCTACAAATGCTCAAAATAAAACTGCAAGACCCACACTGGCCCGTCCATCGGATGTGAGGCTGAGTACGGACAGTGTGCATGCCAGTCTCTCGTGGCTTAAGCTGATGATACAATGTTGCCGTCAATGGTAATGAGTAAAGATAATTACCATAATCCCCTTCCCCCATCACTC